CTCCACTGAATGTATCGCGTGCTGCAAGCCCAAGGCTGCACCCCAGAAAGGTTCTCATTGGTGACGCACACGGGCAGATGCCTGGGCACAGCCTCCCCACAAGCGAGGGAGGCCAGTGAGCGAGGCCCAGCGTCCACCCCCAGGGAAAGCGGCTGCAGCCCAGTGTGGGAGTGCAGCCATGGCCCAGGACAGCGCTGGCAGCACCCGGAGGGAGGGACCCCAGGACGGCGAGGCGGCAGCAGGGGTGCTGGGTGCTGTCGCCGGAAGATTTCCTGAGTAGCGAGATCTTGACGCCAGCCGGTGGCTGCTCCCCGCGGGTTCTGCCCTGGGATGCGTCCGGTCCCCGGGCCCTTCCTGGCTTCCGCTGATAACGTGTGTAATAGGCTATTTCCTTCCCTGTTAAACTCTGCACACTCGGACAGCCACCCTGGCTAAATCGGGCTCGAGAGGCCAGCACTGGCAAACAGGGATGAGGAATGAGGGCAACATGGAAAAGCAGAGGAGAGTGGGGGCGAAAGTGAGAACCAGCCGCCTGGATTCGCGAGCTCCAAGCCTCCACAGCCACTGCGCGTGGCTCCTCACACACTGCGTCTGGAATTCCCAGCGTGGCCCCCTCTTCCTCGTCCCGGACAGAGGCGTTGGAATTCCCGGGCTCTGCGAGGAGATCCGACACCGCCGTCGGTGCCGCAGAAGCAGAACCCCGTTCTGTCCCAGCGGCTGCTCGGATGCCACAGCAGTGCTGGGATAAACGGGAGCAGCCCGGGCCCCACGTCTGCGCTGAGTCGCCACAGGGAAGGCAGCCGGGCGGGGGCGGAGACGGGGCCCCGGGACCACAGGCTCGGGAGGAGCAAACGCCGGTTGATGAACCTTCACGTTCTGAAAGTGCTTCCCGGCTCATGAGAGACACGCGGCGCCCGTCACGTGCATTCCCGGAGCACGCCTGCCGTGGCCGCGGAGTGCCGACCTGCACAGACATGCGGGGAGCCCCTCGATGCGGGAGGGCCCTCCCTGCTCCCTGCTCCCTGCTCCCTGCTCCCTCTCTGCCCCGCCTCTGCGCATTTCTTGCCTCGGCTTCGGCTCCTATGCCTCTCGCGGGAGGAAAGGACCGGTACCCGGATGCACACCCAGGGCCCGGGAGCAATCTAATCACAGAGGAGCCACGATCCTGGCTGAGAATACCAGGTTCCACTTGTCTCGCGTGCACAGACGCTCCCTGGGGGAGGCAGAGAGGCAGCTCAGCTGAGAGACGGGGCCTCCTTTGGCCTCACTTTGCTGGTGAACTTGGCCTCCGTCATCACTTCTCATGATCTTCCCACTCACCGATGCACGGAACAAATCGTCAACATTGTCCCCTCCCTGCCACTGCCCGGCCCAGCGGCCCTGGGACGGAAGCCACGAGCCAGGTGCAGAGAGAGGAGCTGTCACTTCTCAGACGTGCCCTGGATCGAGTGTCCCCTGATGCCAGCCACTGAGCTGTGGCCTGGAGGTGGGAAGAAGAAAGGGACGTGTGGGTGGGGGTGGCCAGTGCTGTGCTGTGCGCGGGGGGGTAGGTTAGCAGGGCGCTGGGAGGAGGGCCAGGCCCTGTGTCACCCAACCCTCGTCGGGCGACGCCCAGCCCGGAGGTGGACCAGGAACCGAAGCTCAGAGGAGTCACCGATGCTGGAGAGACACCGCGCACGTCCATCGCACGGCGCCCAAGGAGAAGCCGCAGCTGGCATCCCCCGAGCACCACGGCCAGCACCCACCGGCTTCCAGGCACGGCTGGCTCTCAGCGCGCTGGCCCTGCTCACTCCCTAACCCTCCAGGCCTGTGGATCCTCATTCCACTCACTGCAGGACACACAGCCCGTGGGGAGGGGAGGCCCCAGGACACGAGGGCAGCCGGGCTCTGTGGGCCGAGCGCGTCTCAGAAGCAGGACCGGGAGAGACGGAGGAAGACCAGAGCCCAGCGTTCCAGATGGGTCTGCTGTGGACACGCGGCGTGGTCTGAACCCTTGAGGCGAGCGGGGAGGGTAGAGGGGGCTCAGGAGCAGAGACGCCCACAGAACGGGCGAGCGAGTGAGCGGGGGAGGGGGCACCGCCTCCCACCAACTTCCAGATGCTGCCTTCTCAGCTCCAGACTGCAGGGCGAGCTCTCCCCTGCCCCAGAGGTGACAGGCCCCGTGGCCTGATGGATGACCACAGGTCTGTGGGCTGGGGGGACTCCCGGAGCTGTCTTGGAGGCTCACTGACCTCCCCTGGCCGCTGGAAACGCCCCCTGGCCTCGGCACCCTGGGGCGGCAGCAGAGAGCAAGGATGGCGCCCGCAGCCGCAGCCAGCTGCCCTGCACCCAAACCCCCAGGGCTGAGCCTCTGCCCTGCCCGCAAAGCCCAGCTCCCAAGTCACATTCCTCAGGCAGGGGCATTTTAACGCCATCGACGGCCGCTCCTTCCCACCTGAGTGGGGGCGCCCAGAGCTTCCGCAGCTGTGGCACAGCAAGCCCCACGCCGCAGGGTCCTTCATTCCTGCGTGGACCTGAGCTGTCCCTCGGGATAAGAAACCGGAGTGTGGGGGCTGGGCGAGCACAGGAACGGCAGGTGTCCCCGTGTGCTCTGCGACCCCGGCACCCCAAGCCCTTCGGAGGCTTCAGGCTGCCCTCGCGCGTCTGCGTGTGTCTGGGCGTGCGGCTCCCCTTGCCGCCCCTGCTGACATCAGAGTGCTCTCCCATGGGGACTGCGCTCACCGCTCCCCAGCCCTGTGCCGCTGGGGAAGGTGGCAGGTGACAGCACCCAGGAACTGCCTAAGCCCCTGTGCTAAAGTGGAAAAGCAAGCCCAGATCCATCATAAATCCTAAAACTAAATTAACACGTCGAGGTAGTTTTTTAAAAAAAAAAAAATAATTAAAGGGAAGAATTGGAAATGTAAAATGAAACTGAATGGTCTAATAAGCAGGGCACCCAGAAAGGCCACGGCCTTAACCCGGTCCCCGTGAGGCGGCCGCATCGTCACAGCCCCCATGCCACCCAGGGTCCCCCCAAAGGCCGGCTCATGTTGGCCCTGACAGGCAAACACCGCTGGGCAGAGCAGAGCTGGCACTGGGGCAGGGCCGAGAGGCCAGCAAGTGCCACGTTGTGCAGCTCACAGGGCGTCCTGCGACCTCTCGGAGTTCAGGATTTGGGGGAGAGATCGCATCACCCCGTCTCACCACCAGCGGAATGCGTGCCGTGCTGTTCTGTTCAGAATCGTTCGGCCTTGAAACACACGCCCGTGCCGCCTTCGATTGGAGCTGGCAAGGAGGCTTCTTCTGGTTACTGGCTGGTGGGAGGAAAGCACTCGTCCCCCCAAAAATTTTTACAGATCCTTCTTTTTAGGGGCGCTATTGGAGACACACCGCTTTCAGACAGTTAACGGGATCTGTGCCGGGTTCTCTGGTGTTCTGACTTGCCTTCATTTCCTGAAGTAATCGGGAGGTCCCAGCTGGATTTTCCTCTTCTCTCAGGCCCGCCTCATCAGGGGACCGTGTCTCAAAGCCAACACATCGTGGCTGAGCTTTCTCCTTCCTAGGACGAGGGAAGCATCCCTTCCCCCAGCGGAGCCCGGGCCACGGCCGTGTCTGCCCAGAGAAGTGAAATCTCTCAGAATCAAGCACCCAGGCCACCTGGCACAGGCACCTGCTTGCTCCTTCTTGGGAGGGTTTGTTCCCCGCTTCTGTGTGCAGCGAGCACTCTCGTTCTAAGTCCAGCTTGCTTTCCCTCCCACGCACTGATCTATGTTGGTTCCTGAGTTCTTTCTCAGTGTAGACAGGAACCTGGGCCAACCCAGCCAGGGGTCGCCCACACCGTCTCATCGCAGGACCCTCGACACCTCAACACCCTGCAAAGAGCCCTCAGCTGAGGCCTTGCAAACTGCAGCTGGTGTGTTCTGAAATACATTTAATAAGTTACAACCAGCAATTGATAAAATGATACAGTAGAACTGAATGGAACAGGAACACACAGAAGGCAGCGCACACAGCGGGCTAGGAAGTGCTTTCTCTGGGTAATTTTCATTCCAGTGCGTGTGCGTGTGTGTGTGTGTGTGTGTGCATGTGTATGCGGGTGTGTGTGTGCACACGCCAGGTCATGGCAGCACAATACATCCATCACGTGATCTGAGAAGAAGGAGCACACTCTGAGGGGCTGGGCAGGGTGATGTCACGGGCCGAGGCTCCGACTCCACAGGAGCAGGCGATGGGCATACGGACTCCTCCTCCAGACGCGGAAGTTGCTTCTCTGTGGTTATTTCTAGAAAGTCTAACTCAGCCACGCATTTTGCCAGTAGTGATCATGCCCAGCCTCCTCCTGCTGCTGGCAGATGTTCCGCAAGTAACTGCAGGCTTGGGTGGCTTCCCCGCACCGGGGGCTTCCGATTGATTCATAAGACACCCCTGAAGGGTGAAACGCCAGCTCCCCACTCGGCTGGCCCGCCCCTGAGCCCTTCCCCACTCGGCTGGCCCGCCCCTGAGCCCTTCTCCACTCGGCTGGCCCGCCCCTGAGCCCTTCCCCACTCGGCTGGCCCTCCCCTGAGCCCCCACCTGTGGGCTGTAGGCACAGAGAGGGATTGTTCTGGGGCCTGCTTGTGACACGCAAAGGCTGAGCATCAGCACCGGCTCCACAATCTGCAAGGCCAAGTTCAAAAGGACGGGGGGTGAGCTCGTGTGTGAAGGGACAGCGTGTGAGCTCGTATACAAAAGGACGGCGGGGCTGGCTTAGTGTGCAATACAGACAGGCGGTGGGCTCGTGTACAAAAAGGACAAAGGACGCACGCATCGTGTGTGAAACGCACGCGGCAGGCTCGTGTGTAAAAGGACGGGGGGTGGGCTCATGTACAAAAGGACGGGGGGTGGGCTCATGTACAAAAGGACGGGGGGTGGGCTCGTGTACAAAAGGACGGGGGGTGGGCTCGTGTACAAAAGGACAGGGGGTGGGCTCGTGTACAAAAGGACGGGGGGTGGGCTCGTGTACAAAAGGACAGGAGGGGGTGGGCTTGTGTACAAAAGGACGGGGGGTGGGCTCATGTGCAAAAGCGGGTGCGAAGCTCCTTCCCGTCTCTGTCCTCCGCCTCTCGGCCTGTTTCTCATCTGCCACCTGATCCTGCAGCCCCTCTGGCACGGGCACACTGACCCCGAATGCCCCCCTCACAGCCATCCGGGGACTCGCTCTGGGTCTCAGAGGACACCGGGGCCCGGCCCCTCTCAGGGCGGGGCAGGAGGCAGGCCTTTGGGAAGTGGTCAGCAGGGTGGAGCCCCACAGCCGAATCCTGGTTTCATGAGCAAAAGGGGGAGAAGCCAAGGAGAGACACACCCATGCCCCCGTCCCTTGCCACCTGGAGCCCTGAGCCCTCGCCTGGGACCACCAAAATCACGCCCTCCATCCCGGCTCCGAGCCCCAGGTATCCCACTACAGTAACGGAGAAACAAACCAACATGCTTGGTCGGCACCGATTGCTGTGTCATTGAATATTTCCTGCGCTTAAAGCCAATCGATCCAAAAACTCACCGACATTTCTCTTACAGGCACTCGTTTACCGAGCTTGACAAGTGACACAAGGTGGGTGTTTAACCCATCTCTGCACACTCAGGGCCAACCGCGGAACAGGAGCCTGGGAACCACGGCTTCCAGCTCCGAGCGACTGCCACAGCTCCATCTCACTGAGCTCTCGAGAAGGCGGCAGGCACGGGCGTCAGGGCGCGTGGCTCCCTGCAACACCACTGTGCGCCCTTGTTGCTGAGACATGGAGGCCGGGCTACTTCAACAACCTGTTTGAGCCCAGACAGCAGAGCGGTCTCTGAGCCAGAGCCAGAGCCAGGCGCGGCCGCGTGGGACACGACTGCTCACCTGTGAGCAGGACGTAGCATCGCACGAGCGGCCCTCGCCCAGCGTCACGCTTCAGAAGCAGCCGAGGGGCAGCTCCAGGTCCCCACAGCGCAAGCGCACAGGGCCGTGAGGCCGCGTCCCCCGCTGGGAGCCATCAGAATGCACAGCTGGTTCCGTCTGCCATCGGAATGCACAGCTGGTTCCGTCTGCACCACCGGGAGCTCGGGGGCCACCGAGTGCCCACACCACCTGCAGCTCCTCTGGTTCACGTCCTCGGCTTCCGTGCCATGGATGAACAGATCCGTCAAACCCAGCGGGACGCTCAGGGCTCAGAAGGATTCAGCTGCTCTTAGGCGAGCAGAGGCCCTGAAGCCGTCGGCCTGGGCGGCTCCGCTCACCTCTGTGACGTCGGCATTGAACCTGGGTCCCAGAGGAGGAAAGGGGGGGTTCTGGGCACGGAGCGCTGCCCTTTGTCACAGGGCACCTGCTGTGGCCAGCAAGGTGCAGGCTGGGGAACGCGCGTCCACAGTCAAAGGCAAAGCACACACGGCCAACCCTGCACGCGCCTCCGCCTCTCCCCGTCACTCTGGCTCCCCCCAGCCCGGGAACCCTCTCCTGGGCCGGGCAGCTCTCAGAGGGGCTGACAGCTCTGCTCGGGGCCCCCATCTCCCCGCCGCACGGTGGTCTCATCCCCACTGCTGCCTCCCCACCGTCTGAATGGCAAGGCTGCACTACAACGGGCTCAGAATCTGGTGAACACAGTCAGGGATCCTCGGGCGATGGTGCCCACGGAAGTCCAGGCACCTGCAGGTGTAACCACGGAGGCTGGGTGTTCCCGAGCCCTTGTTCAGAAGGAAATAACAGCACACTGGGCAGAGATGTGAGCGTGAGCTGCAGCCGTCAGCTCAACACTGCCCAGGAGACGGGGTCTCAGCTGGTGACGAGCTCTTTGAGGATCAAAGACAGGATAAGGCTCCACAAAGGGGTCCTCGGTGAGTTCAAGTTCGGATACCAAACATCCAGAATACATGCCGAAAGGTAGGACCAGCTTGGTGAGCAGACCCGGAACAGCGTCGCGTAAGCATGACTGAAGAGTGCCTCACTCGGCTTGGCCAGGAGACGCCATGGCCCGCGCCTTCACACTGCCCAGGAGCACAGCACAGTGTCACCTCCTCAGAGCGGAACCCGGCCCACACCGCGCCTCCCCGAGGCAGTGTAGGAGCTTCCTGCCCTGAGCTTGATCGGTTCCTCAGAGGACGTCCCGCCCAAGGGCATCCGAGGACATCACCCTATGAACGGAGAGGACCAGCGTTGCAGGGTCACAGGGTGAGCTGCCTGCTTGTCTGAGGTCCGCTTGTGCCCCGCCTGCCCAGTGGCTCCTGGGCACACGCATTAGACTCCAGCTACTCCTGCAAAATCGGAAAGCGACCACACTGGACCGCGTGACCGTGACCACCCCGGGTGCAGCTGATTCCGAGTGGCCTCTTTCAGATGGGACCGGTGCTGTGCGACCTGTCACGGCCCGGCCTGGTCCCTGTGATACGCCAGCTGGCCCTGACCTGCACGACCTGCACGACCCTGGAAGCGCTCCAGGGGTCTGACTGCGCTCTGAACGGATTCTGCAGAGCCAGCGCGCCTGTCCTCTGCCCTGTACCTGGCTGCCTCGGTCCTGTTCTCGTTGCTTCCACGGTCCACGCTGAGGTGCATCGGTGTGTGGATGGCCGTCTCTCTGCCCGTCGGCCCCTCGCGGGTCTCAGAATCAGATTCTGCAATCTTGGTCGAGGGCAGGAAACGGAAACAAAACTGAGATTCGTCGCCGCATCCTCTGTGCCTCCCAGTGGGCGACTGCATACCCCACCTGTGCACTGGTTTATTCTTCTCTTAGTGACCTACAGGAGAAGCGAGTAAGAGCAGGAAACTCATTTCAAGTCCTCATGGGAATATTCAAACATCCTATCACTCGGCATCTGCACAGTCTGGATTTCACACCTCCTCTGTCAATCATTCGTACCAGGCCTTTCCTGGGTGTGGGGTGCTGGGCCAGGGCCCTGGCGACTGGCTGGCACACACACTGCCAGCAATGCAGAGGTCGCATGCTCCCCTACCAGCACCCAGAACACAGTGTGACAACCAGGAGTCAAGCAAAACAGGGCACAGTCATTCCTTGGTGTCCGTGGGGCACTGGGTCCCACAATCCACAGATGGATTTGCACGGAGCCTTCGCACACCCTCCAGGTCCTGTAGGCCATTTCTGGACAGCAGCGCACACACTGGGAGGGCTCTGCAGATCACTGTCGGGCTGCGTTGTTTAGAGGACAATAGCAAGAAAAGACGCTGATCCTGTTCGGAGCAGAGGCCATCTGTAAGAAGTATTTTCCGTCAGGGTTGGTTGAGTCCACGGGTGTGGAACCCATTGGTGCTGAGAGCTACTGTATTCCTGGGACATCAGAGGCCGGAGCAGCACTTGTGGCTCAGAGCCTAGATCTGGGCGGAGCGTCACGCACCTGGCACGTTTACTTTGACGATGGACGGCACAGAGCTGCCGGCATCGTTACCGCAGGCCTCTGCTCTGGTTCAGGGGTGCGGGGTCTTAGACCACCCGAACAAGGATGGACTGGGTCCGAAGAAAGGTAAGTGCGCCGCTCGCCCGTTCCCCAGCCTCCCGCTCCCGGGGACAATCAGACACAGCGGGGAGTCAAGTCAAGCAAGCAAGAAATCGGTTTATTGAACATGTAGCAAAGCCTTTTAAAGCACAAGACCGCAGGATTACTGGGGCAGGGCATAAGGACCAACCGATTACTTAAAAGGTCATTTTACCTGGTGACTTTTTACAGGACCAGCCATATGTCTGTACACTCATCATCAGTGTCACTTCCCCTGATGCTGCGCAGCCAATCAGCTTTGGTGGTAAACGACTTTGGGCACCGCCCACCTTACTTCCTTTGGGCGCCATCTTTGAATTGCCACGTGTGCCTAATTTCCCCACAAGGGGCTCCCGTGGCGCTGGCCACCCCTGACGACCGCTGATGTTTATGGTCCGTGTTGGCCCCCAGCACTGGACTCCGAGGGTATGGCTTGCACCTGTTCTGCTTGGCAGTCCCTGAGCTCCAGGGCCACCCTGCCCAGTGGTGTGCGAAGCTGACCAGGTGCGTGGCCGCACCATGCTGAGCCATGGGGAGATTTGCACAGATCCTGGTTCAGGGCGGGAGGCCTGGAGCCATGCGCTCCATGCTTGTGAGCTGGAGAGCCCTGCCCAGCTCTTTCTGCTGCTGTTTGGCAGTGCAGTGTGGCCTGAGAGGGGAACCTCCCTTCCTGGGAGCTCAACACCCCGGAAGACAGATAGGAAACAGCAGCACCACAAGGACCCGTTACAGCAGCACCACAAGGACCCGTTCAACCGGTGTTTGCTGAATGTTTGTAGCACGCACCCGAGAATGCGCAATGAGAGCTCACAGAAGGCCACGCAGCAGGGCCAGCTCCCACCCGCAGCCCAGCATTTCAGGTAAAACCACCGCCTGCACTCAGACACCCCATGCGGGCACCACATCGAGCCTCGCCAGCTGGCCTCCAGGCCACTGTGCTGCATGGTGGAGCCCGAGCGAGGCACAGGGCCGGCCAAGAGCAAAGCTGAATGCTCCTCTGTAGGGGAGCTCTCCAGGGGAGAAGGCGCTGGGGCCACACCACAAACCACGAGTGTGGAGCAGCCAGCCCTCGTCCCCAGGGCCCTCGGCCGCCCCCAGCCCGTGCCTAAAACAGATTTCCTCCATGAGCAGCTTCTGAAGGAAGGAGCATTTGTGGGAGGGGGAAGCCTAGATGGCAACAGACATAAGCCCTGGATTACCGGATTTCAGAATCAGAGCTTAAGCCCTCGTCTCTCAACCATGCAGCCTGTCATTGCTGTGTGCTTGTGTTCAATGATTGGGGAGCAAACGACTCTGACCTCACGTCTCTCACAAGCCAGAGCTGCGGACGAGACACACACACTCTTGTTCCATGTGAGCTTACAAATTCCAGAAGATGAACACAGACAGCAAACTGGGGGAGACTGGGGAGGGGGCCCTGGTGGTGATGAGGCAGTGCTGGAAACACAGAGGCTGCCAGTGGGGGCTGGCATGGGGGGTGGGGGGCTCTGGGGCATCCAGAAGGGGTGGGCATGGGGCAGGGAGGGGGGCACTCCAAGGCAGCCAGCGCGGGACAGCATGGGGGACTGGGGGGCTCCAAGGCAGCCAGCAGGGGAGGCAGGGGGGAGGGTGCTGGGCGGCTCAGCAGACTGGAAGGGCAGGAAGCACCAAGAGGAGTCAGACCCTGTTGGGAACACACCCTAAGCCCCTGTCTTAGCTGTGGTCCCTACAGAAGCGTTAGGTCGTGTCCTGGTCCCTGTGTGCCCCAAGGCAGATTCCAGACACCAGGGACTTACCAAGGACAGACATGCATTGCTTGGGGTCCCAGAGATCGGGCGGCCAAGATCAAGGTGCCGGCAGCCTCAGGGTCTGACAAGGCCACTGTCTCCCCCAACCAGGGCACCTTGCTGCTGTGTGCCCCAGAGCAGACGAGCGCCATGTCCCCACCTGGCAGAAGGGATGGAGGCTTCACTGGAGGTGGGAACCAGCTCTCTTCACCTCCCCTACACGGCTGCACTAACGTGGTCCTACGGAAGGTGTGCTCTGACATTTTGTGGGGGAGTGCGCCGAATCAGAGGTGCCTTTAGTTAAGCAGTGTGCAATCAACAGGGGAATGTCACCGAGGGAGCCCGGATCTCTCTGTACAACCCGCTCTGTGGAGCAGTGGACTGTGTCCGTCCTCCCACATCTCCCGTGGCCTCCCCAGGCCTCTTGGAGCCTCTCTCGCCTGCTTCCCGAGCCACCGCCTGGGGATAGTCGAATGCAGTCAAACACGCCATTAACTAGGGCACAGGGGTTGTTACGTAACTGGAGAGCTAAAGCCAGCTGTGAACCACTCCTAAATGTCGCCCGCTAAGTCGTGGTGAGTAGGGTTTTTGAGCACAGCCACTAGGGCCTTATGTGTCCAGACGAGACCTTTTCCCTGCTAGTCCCTTTGGCAGTATCAGCCGTCACTCGGCAATGCCGCCGCTGAGCAGGCTGTTCCTGGAACCGCACCTGGTCTTCAAGCCGGCCGACAACAGGCGCCACACCAGAGGAGAGTCGGGGACCGCGGCCCATTTCACCCACACCACTCTGTTGTGCTTCAGCATCCGTCAGAAGCCTCTGGAGCAGCCCGGGTGGGGCCAGACCGGCACTGGGCTGAGCTGGGCAGGGGCTGACCAGCAGCCTCCAGCCACCTCCCCGCAGTGTCCTGATGGTAACCACTCGGTGTCGAGTCCGCTGCTTGTCCCCCATCCCACTCAGGCCTGGGACGCCCGGCTCCTGCTCCATCTGTGAGGAGCTGGACTTTCCCGTTTCCCAGCCAGCGCTCAGTCCACAGCCCCGGAGGCACCAGTACTCTCGTCTGAAGCCCCTCCCAGAGTTGGTCTTGGATCTTTGCGCCTTTGTGGAAACGCAGCTCCCAGGCTCCTGATAAGGGACACTTGACCCACAGGGCTGACCGCTGCTCCCCTGGCAACAGCATCCTTGGCTTTCAGGCTCTTTTAAGAAGAACCACTTAGAGCCCTGCCCACTGCAGGATGCCGCGGGTTGCAATCTGTCCCCCTACGTGTGTGATCTGATCGCCAAGACTGAGTATCTTACAGACATGACACAGGCAACCAGGTGCCTACGTCCAGGAAACAGCCAACGATGTCTGATTGCTGGGAGCTCATTTCCCGATTTTAAAACAGTCCAGCCCTCCACGACCTGTGCACAGAGACCACAGGCAAGCGGTGAGGGGAGCCACACGCTGCCCCTGCAAGCCTCACTGCCCGGAGCTCGTCCAGCAGCAGGGCCCCTGCTCACCCCAGAGTCTTTTCTCCTCAGCACACGCACAGTGAGCGCCTCAGGGGATAGACGCGCATTCAGCAGGGCAGTGTCTGGGTGCCCCTTCAGGGGCCTCCGTAGAACCTGCTGAGCATCTGGGTCAGCTTAGATTTCCACTGCCCAAATGCTCCCCCGTCGAATTAAAAGCAACCAACCAACCAGATGGGTAAAACTCAGACCCACTTGGAATACCAAACTGTATCATATGCTTTAAAATGAAATATCTTGGGCGTCCTGCCTGGGAATGAAGTGAGGTGTCCCGCACACACTGGTTCTGGCAGTAAGGACAGGGCAGCTGCACCTTTGCTCTGAGCTCCAACGGTAAGAAAGTCTCCCCGACTGGACACTCAATGTACCCACAGTGTGGGTGTGCTGTCTGTGTCTTGTCTTCTCCCTGGACAGTGGAACTGTGTTTAGCAGGACCTGGAAAAACTGTGCTTCTACTGAACTACCGGAAAAAGGGGCTCTGGAATTATCCCCGTGTTGAACAGATCGCTTGTGCTGCCCTCAGCTAAACCCGCAGGGTGCTGGGTAACACAATAAAACAGAGGGCCATGGCCCCAAAGACCACCACTGTAGCAGGATTCGTGCACCGAGATAACCAGGGTCTTGCAACAGGAAGTGGTCTTTCATTATGCCAGCAAAGACCCAGGTGGAATTTCTTATCCAAAACCCTGGCCCTGAACAAAGAAGGGTTTTTCCTTATATACGGTTTCAGCCTCTTTGTCTCCCTTATGTATGGCTCCCTGCACACACTGGCCTGGATTTTCTAATGTCACCTGGCGGCCACAGGAATGGGTACGTGGTTGTTTTTTCTTCTCTGTACACATACTGAACCCCTCGTGGTCTGGCAAGGGTTAACCTCTTTGCTCTGTACTCGCAAGCAGAACCTGAAGTGGTTCCATATTCGCAGATGGGGACTACAGTTGGAGCACTCACAGGCAGGCAGATAAGGGCTACAATCGGAGCACTCACAGGCAGGCAGATAACAGCCACATTTCATTCCCAGGACAGATGCCTCCCTTTTTCTTCTTCTGACCTTGGGAAGGCCTCTGCCGCAGCTTTAATCACGTCAGTTAGAAACAAGTCTAAACAGAAAACAGGGGCCTCTGCCCGTCACTGACCCACTGGCCATGGAAAAGTGAACTTTAAACCCTCACAGGGTCCAGTGAATATTTTAGGGGTTTTGTGGGACCTTCCATTGCTCCAGAACCCTTTAGTTATCATAATCTTGAGCCCCCAGTTTTTATTGGAAACACCCACAAGAAAGGGAAGCACCAGGGCAGAGGAGAGATTAGCACCCCAACTCTGGGCCCTTGGGGGCTGTCAGGCATCATGGGTTCTCAGGTGGCCAGTGTGCAGGTGGCCTGTCCAGTGGGGCTTCTACTTCAAGTCAGCCTCCGTCCACCCTGGCAGCCCTTTTTCCTGTCTTTGAGCCACGGATCTGAGAGCCTGTGGGTTGCACTATAGCAGATTCAGGAAGGCCCTCATTTCCACCAGACTGTGAGACTTGGGGCTCCACCCACAAACTCGCTCACCTTGCCAGGGCACGAGAGCAGGCTGAGGCCTGTTTCACGCTTCAGCATGGAAAGCGTCTTGTGTTTCTTCGGTTGCACTCCAGATGAAGTCACTTGTTTGTGTCTGGGATTTCTCGTAAAGGGTGACTTCCCTCTCCAAAGCCTGCAGGGCTCTCACGTGGTGTGCAGCCCAGGGAGGAACAGCAGGTTTGCAGCCCACTCTGAGACATGTGCTTCTTCCACAGTAACAGGCCTGAGCAGCCACACCTGCTGAGCAGGTGCAGTTGACTTCAACAAAGTTAAATAGTTGTATAGCAGGTTTAAAATTCACAAACATCAAACTAGGTGTACAAGGACAGAGTTCTGTCTTCTGTAACTAAACACCTTTACCAGTAGAATATACCAACCATAGTAACAACAAAACCTAAATTCTAGTGACTTAAAATAACAATGTCTTGTTTCCTGCTGTGATGTGTGTCCAACATGGATCCGCCTACAACCCTGGGGTGATGAAACTGCCATCATCTTATGACATCACCATATTCTCCCAGTCTTCAGGGTTTACCATAGCCGAAGGGGGCAGGGAGAGCTGGGGTGCAGCCCCTAAGTGCTCCCACCAGGGAGTAGCAGACAACACTTCTGCTCAATGTCCTTGTCCGGTGTGGGCTGGATGGCACACTCGAAGGTTTGTAGGAATGTGTATCCCAAGAAGGAAGCTCTAGTGACGCTTGCCCCGCCGCCTCGGCTTTGGAGCTGCATTTACACGCACGTCCAGCAGGTCCTCACCTTGCCCCTTCAGTGGCAACACTGCAAGCTCCAGGCAGGTTGAGTTTCCCATTTCCCGACTCCTCCCCAGCAGCACAATCTCTCTGGCCCTCCTATGCAGAGATGCTGATGGCCCCTCCCAGTCCAAAATGGACTTTCCACGGGTAAAGATTACTCAATCAGTTCGGGATTGAAACTCACTCTCTGCCATGTCAAACTCTCTGAGCAGTAGCCCTCTCCTCCAGCCTCTCACTGCCCTCCACCAGGAAGGTACTCTCGGGGCCCAGAGGGTACCCCCTACTGCAGTGATCCCCTGAGAAGGGAAAGAGCCACAAATGAGTGCAAAATTTGGATTGGTGTTGAGGAGTGAGGAATTCACTTCCATCCTAACACTGGTCCTCACAGCACTCCTAGAAAAATTGACATAGAGCATCCAGCCTCTGGTTTACTGTGGAAATTCCTCTTGGCCTTTTAGCCCAAGAGCTTGGACCCCAGCTATTCTTCTGTATTGATGGATTCCATCATGGGAATTGTTATACAACTGAGGGCCAGCGCTCTGGCACAGCAGCTAAAGCTGCCACCTGCAGTGATCTCGATCTCGTGTCTCAGCTGCTCCTCTTCCAATCCAGCTCTCTGCTGTGGCCTGGGAAGCAGTGGAAGATGGCCCAAGTGCTTGGGCCCCTGCACCCACATGGGAGATGTGGAAGAAGCTCCTGGCTCCTGGCTTTGGATCAGCCTAGCTATGGCTGTTGCAGCCATTTGGGGAGTGAACCAGTGGATGACAACCTTTCACTTCGTCTCTCCCTCTGTCTGTAACTCTACCTCTTGAATAAATAAATCTTTTTTAAAAATCTTAACAGAGACTTGAGGACTAGAAGGAAAACAAAGATGCCAGCCTCATTGGAGTAAATGTTTCTCAGTCTGTTGATTTCCTGTTGGTGTCCGTGCTGGTCACAGGAGGGCTTCCAGGGTTTGCTGCCAGGTGACACACCCCAGTCAGTCCTGGATCATACCCCACTCCCTGCAATGACCTGGTCTGCCAGGGAATATTTTGCTAAGAGCACTACAGCCACAGAAAAATGTGTAAGAAGAATTGAAGTCAGTGTGTACTGCTCGTCACTCATGGCTAAAAACAGTCATGTGCGATATACGTGACAGTGAGAAGCAATATCCCCACTCTCAGAAGCAGTATCCCCTGCGCTCGTGGTAAGCTCTGCGTGTTTGAAAAGCGATGCCATCATCCACGGATCTCTGCTCTGAGGTGTGGGGAGGAATTGGAGGTTTGGGGGAGCTCTCCCAGTTTTGAGTCCAAACAAGAAGGGAAATAGAAGAAGCTTCTCAGTTGGTACCATCTCAGCTCTCTTCAAGGTTAACTCACAAGTGTGGTGTCTGCACCTAAAGGCGAGAGCAACAAGAGCACATCCAGCATCACGTTTCGTTCCCAGCAGGCACAGTGTCTGAGCAGCAGGAAACTGCTCCCGTCAAATGGCTGGACCACAGGCACGCTATCATGAATTGGCTGGGAGGCCCTTGAGTTACACTAGATCGAAGAATGCACAGAAACCGCTTATTGACTTGAGATTCTAGAGAGCAGGGCTAACCTTCTGTGTCAAAGTCTTCAAAAATGGAAATCAAGGTATTCAAAGCAATCCATTGTCACAGAGGAATCCAGAATGATGCCGTGCCACTCCTCACAGGTGCAGGGTGGGGAGGAGACGACACCCACACTGACGATGCCCAGGCCTGAGGCCAGTCCTGCTCTCATGTCCTCCAGGAGTCCCAAGAATCCAGACGACCAGCACAAGGGACGATGCTCACTCAAAACAGCTCTCAGCTGACAAGGAGAGGTGCCTGGATAGGATGTCTCAGGTCATGGAATACTGTCTCCCCTCACATTCTGCACAGGGCAACTGTGTCTCAGCAGTGACATCACAGACGCGAACAGTGCCATTGGCCATGGAGCATGCAGCCTGCAAGGCAGCCAGTTTGCTTCCAGCTGAGCAGCTGTGTCTCAGAGTGGACTGCGGGGGCCCAAGGGGCCCTCAGTTCTCATGGAAGGAGGGGGAATCCTAGGGTGGGAAAATGGTATTCTTGCCAAAGCCATATGCAGCTCAAGTTATTTACTTGAAAAATCATGGTCCCTTATTTCAAAACCCAAACTGCTGAGCTAGAACACACCAGTTGCAGAGCGACTTATGGAGCTGTTGATCTTTTCAACTAGAATTTGTGTTACTAAAAAGTAGGACCCATGCTCATTCCTCACTGTGTATTCTGGGGAAATATGGCAATAATTCACAGCAGAGATCGACAGTATTTTTCCATGAAGGGCCAGCAAGGAAGCATTTTAGTCTCTGTGGGGTACATGTTCCTTGCTGCAGCTACAGGACTTGTCACTCCATTGCGAAGCTTCCCTAGACAATCCATGAGCCAATGGATGTGGCTGCATTCCACTAAAACACCATTTATAAAAACAGGACCACAGTTTGCCTACCTTGCCTCACAGCACGGAATGGTAGAAAGACGCAGGACAATCCCTACCTCAGTCTTGCTCTGCCTCTCATAAAACCTGCCAGCTTCCTTTCCCCAAACCAGAGTATAATAACACATCATCCATAGAAATTAAAGTGCGACGTATGGGAGATTGCAAGGCTGCTGGAGCCTAAGAGAGTTTCCCCAGTATGTGCTTGATTTATAGAATTTAAATTTGAAGATGTTTTACTTTAAAAAGCCTCTTGACCAGTCTTTCCTGGAGGTCACACTTGTCATCGATCCTGTGGAAAGTCCAAATAATCAGAATCTCAAATGGAATCTAGGCCATAATTCAACTGATAGATGTTGATTTCAACCTCCAAGGCCAATGCAATAACTCACACAGCTTAGAGGAATAAGGGAGATGCAGCCCTCAAACACACTATGTGATTAACCTTCGACACACAGATAGAACGTAATCAATGTGTAGAGTCTGTGCTGCTCCTGACAGTGAAATTACAAGCAAACAAGCAGAGTCCATCGGCACCTGGAGAGTGTTCAGGGGACGCTGCTGAGCTGGATCGATGGCTCCACAAATCAGCCCCTGATGAGTTCCTCGATGACAGTGCTTATTGACCTGCGTGTTGGAGCAAGACATGATACATGGAGATTTGCTGTGAAATATGTGTTTAATGGGAAGAACAAAGCTAATGCTTGCTACGCGTTTTGTTTGCAAGGCATGCAAACGAAGCATTTTATTTCTCCATTCCCTGAGCGGCGCTGTGCCTTCAGCATTACGCTATCGCAGGAGCAACTGCACACGAAGAGGCAGAGTGTTGGGGTGGCTCCCAGAGAAGATGGACGGAACCATGAGCTGTCATTCTAACAGAGGGAGAAGGCTGGCGGCTGAGGCTCCTGGACCTTTTCAGTGTGCGGGGGCTGCTGTGACACCCAGGCCAGGGGCTTCTCTGTGAGCTGCCTGGCGGCTTCACAAGTTGTTCCTTTCTCTGGGAATGTGTCTTTCCATTCCTCCCTCTAATGAGCGATGCTCATAACGTGTAAGTCTGGAAACTGATATTGGAGGGGGAGGTAGGTCAACAAGATCTTGAGGAAGATGTGTCTGTGGAAAGGCATCACGACAGGGCCCTGACGGTGCAGCTGTGGCGATTCTTCCATGAGTGACCGGCAAAGGGGCCTGGTGGAAGTTACAAAGCTATCTAGCTTCTCATGGTCTCTGATTCATTTATAAAAGGAGAGCACACGGCCTGTCCTCCAGGCAGCGGTAATGATAAATACAGCACACAAAGCATAAGCCCAGACACAAAGCGTGTGATCAATAAGCAACATCCAACTATTATTACTTAGATGATTTTTAATGGACCCAAATCACTGGCTTCAGAGAGCCAGTTGAGGAAGTAACACTGTTAAGAAAAGGACCACAAAAGAGAATTTCAATGAAGAGTGCAGTTACTCAATAAATACCGGTTGATTTGATTTGACATAGCCATCATTCTTTCGCTCTGCTGACTCCAAATTAGGCTGGAGATATTTTCTCAGCTATTTTAATTAGAGTCAGAAGGAAGAAGAAACAGAGGCATTGAAATAAGACTCTGACGATAGACAGAGGAAATAATAGGTCTTTGCGATCTTTAATCTCAATGACTCAACAGGAGAAAGGCTGCCAGGACACGTGGGCTGTTTGGCCTCTTTGGGTGCAGGATAATTTGATCCAAGCTCCCTTCTTCAACAACAGAAGTCAGGGCTATGAATCAGCAGTCCAAGCAAGCAAGAGGCTGAAAATTCTCTGTGTGCCCTCAGGTCTTTGACTGAAAGCCTCCGGTTTTATCTGGCTCCCTCACTGTGTTACTGCAAAGGGCACTGGGAGGCCTGTTACAGCCTGGCCTCTCCCCACACCAGGCTGGCCAGGTGCACACAGCAGTAGGGATGGTGAAATTGTGGGAGGGTAGAGCACTCACTGGGTGCCTCTGCCTTTCCACACGCCTGCCACACACAGCCAGGGATGTGCAGGTTGGGGGAGGGAAGCCTTTTTATACCTGTTGGGTGCGCAGGCAGAGGGGCTGGGCTTCTTGTCTGTGGGTGTCTTCCACGTGCACCCTGAGGAGTTGTGGACTTGTCTTACAGACCCTATTCCATTAAGCATTGTTCCTCCTTGGAATTAACAAGTGAAACAAAGCAAAAAGAAACTCCAAGCCAAACAAAGTTCTGAAAGACCACCCCGAGACCAAGCGAAAGCAGCTTACAAAAAGACCTGTCTGGGAAACTGTGCTGTGGGACTTGGCCCAGCAGGCACAGCTGCTGTGCTTGGTCCAGCTGCAGACAGACCAGCTCAGGGTTGGGCCAGGAGAGCACGCACAGGCTCCATCTCTCCTTGTGAACCCACAGTCATCTCTGAGGGCTGAGCCTGTCGGGCTGCTGCATCAGACCGCAGGCTGGGCGGCTGATCAGCAGCAAACATCTATGTCTCACAGGCCGAGAGCTAGGAGGGCCAAGATCAAGGCCCTGGCAGACTTGGTGGCCCGTGAGTGCCTGTTCGCTAGAAAGGGCAGCCGGGGGTGGGAGTGCTGTCAGGTCTCCTTCTAAGGGCTCCAGTTCCAAAGACCACTCCTTCTAATGCCATCTCCTCGTGGGTGAAGATCCCAATGCACAAATCTGGTGGGGGCACAGCCGTTCAGACCACAGTGCCAAGGGCAAGGAAGGCTGCATCCAAACCCTCTACAGGTTTACTGCAAGCAAACATAGTTTAGTTTCATTTTTAATCTGTTGGGTTTCATTTCACCCATTAACTCTCTGTGCCTTTTCTTACTTGTGACAAGCTAATACAAGCCGTTATATGGAAGAATGGATACAAAAACAACACCCCAAAGCACGAGAGGCAGAAGCAGGCACTGCTGTGCAGGGGGAAGCATTTCAGGATGGTGCTGGGGTCCTGGGTTCTAATCTTTGCTGAATCCCGTGGCGTAAATATTCTGACCACCGCCTCTTTATTTCCTTCCTCCCGCATGTTTCACATAAGTTTGGTCTAGATTATAAATGAAATACCATATTCTGCCTCTTCCTAGTGCTTGTTCTTTGAATTTATTCCATGAACATGTTTTACTGTTTCTTTACCAATTGCTTAGGTAGCCAGCACAGGCCTGGGGGCAAACACAATGAGGTGCAAATAGTGATGCCCCCACTTCCCAGGGTGTGACTACGGGGACCTTATGGGACATGCTGACCTCATGTCCTCCCCGTGGAGGTGGGGACAGCTGACAGCAGCCAGCTCACCGGGTAGACCTGGCGTCTGTTCTTGCTGTGCACACCAGTCCTATGAACTCAGTGTGTCTCCCCGGTGCCCTGTCGTGTCTGCTACAGAGACTCGGGAGACTGGTGGCTGAGGGAGCCCCCTCCTGTGATCTTTAGCTCCTGCATGTTTCCCAAGGACTTGCTAAGTGGAGTGACCAAGCTCACAGACTAACAGGCAAGAGGACAGAGGGCTACCGAGGCATTTTGTGGGCTGCTTAGCTACCTGGGTGCAGATGATGCTGCTGCTTCAAACAACCTGCTGGAGTAGCCCCCATCCCTCTCCCTTCTGTGAAGAGGCAGAGCTGCAAACAGGAACAGGAAACCCTGGTGAGCTGACTGCTTAAATACAGATAGGGTCGTCCACGTCAGCACTTAATGCATTTGCTGCAATGCCATACATTCTATGCCTTTTTGTTGGAATACACATTGGCCTGATCTACCTGAGAGCCACTCCCTTTCCTCCACCAGGAGACCCTTCATGTGAGTGCCACCCACAGGGCCAAGGTGGAAGCAGCAAGAGAACTCAGCTCAGGCCCGGACTTGACGCCTGTGGCACCCCCTGCCCATTCCCAGCAGGTCCTCCCACTGCACAAGCCCAGGCCCCCGATGCCAGCACCCACCTGTGCTCTGTGTCATGGGACTTAGTGTAGACAAGAGGAAATGTAAAATTGATCTTGTTTCAAATGATTATGTCGGGTGTCTGTCACACACCAGTGATCTTGTCCCAATGCATCCGAATCCAGAGACTGGATCCTTGAACACACGGTGTGAACTGAACTGGAAAACGGAGGAGTGAAGTCAGTTGGACCCAGGACAGAGAACTCCAACAGCCCCTGTGGAGCTGTGGCCCGGGCATCGTGTTCAGCTTTGAACACTGGAGGTAGTTGAGTCTGCGAAGCAGATACGTCCTTGTGTATTCAGAGAAGCCAAAGCAGACCCAGGGGTTAATTCCCACACCAAGTGTGGGACCAGGAACAAACCATGAGCTTGTCTGGCCCAAATCGCAACCTCAGCACCTGGTTAGCAACTGTTTCAAAGGACAGGGAACCCAGAGGGCACCCCCACATTCTCTCCAGACCTACGGATCATTCCTGAAGCCCTGAGGATCTGTCAGGACCCCATCTTCTCTGCAACTGAGTGGCAAGGATGGAAATCAACTCTAATACAGTCTCCAAGTTAATATGGAAGTTAACCTTTAAACCAGACCAGCCAAAAATCCCCAGTGCTTATTTAACACTCAAGTGACGACGTCTGCAGAAACTCACCAGTCTGTCCTTCACATACCCTTGAGCATTTATTTCTCCTGACTGGCTGTAGATTTTTTTTTTTTTTTTTTGGAGGACAATGGATGTTTTTTCCTCTGGAATACCTCATCTTCTCCAGATTCCAATTTTTCACTTGAGTTCATACTGCTCTGATTGGAAGAGACATCATCATTCCTATGGCAACCAAAGGTTTTTCCAGTTCCCTCCTTTTTAAAAATCCAAGCAGATACCCTTGACTTCAGAACTGGAATAAGCGGTGGAAACAGGTGCCTCTATTTTTAAAACATGCTTTCCTCACAAATGGTCTTGTACCATCAAGATAGAAATTTTCTCCACAGGCTGCCTTCCCCTTGCCTTCAATTTTATCCTGAAATGCGGCTGGCTTTCTCTATCAGTGGTTCCACTTGCACAGATTCAAGAAAATGCAGCTCAAAAATATTCAGGAAAAAAATGTACCAACTGAGCACATCCAGACTTTTCTTGTCATCATTGCCTAACCAACACCGTATAACGACTACATAATTTACTGTAGGGGGCGTTGCAGGGCACCTGCAGATGATGTAAACTATGTGGGAGTTGTACCTGTATATGTGTAAACACTACACCAAGTTATACGAAGGAGTTGAGCATCAGGGGTTTGGGTATCCTGGAACCATCCCCGCTGGATCCCCTGGGGCCAGTCCCAGCAGGGCTGACACTCAGTCCTAGTGCTCTGGGCTTCAGGCTGTCCACTTGCTGGTCACTTCCTTTGGGGTGGAGAAGTCTTTTGAGGCCGCTTGACCTCCTTTTAATGCGTCTCCAGGCAGGACAGAGATGCCTGTGGTTGACAGCAAAGCATCTTGGGACATTCTAGTAAGAGCCAGCAGAAGCAAAGAGTGCTCGTCTAAGCAGAACTAAACATGCCTCTTCGTGCCATGTGCTCTTCTCAGGACCACGCAAGCCTGAAGAGGCTTTTCCATGTGTTAGAGAGCTAAGAGAGGCTCTCTGCAGTTCTGATGATACGTGGGCCCCAGCAGGTGGGAACGCTGAGTCACAGCTATGCCCATCAGCTCCACAGTGCAGCTCGTGGCCTTCTGAGATGCCCTGGGGGCAGTCACCCACTGCCCTTGCTGGTGTCCCACCCAACATCTCACCACGGATGGGCTGGTCCTTCCCATCAACGCACATGTGGTTTCTGGGGTTGTAGGTGCATCCTCCTTAGCGCTGTCACTGAGACAGTTGCAAGCCAGGACCTTATGGTCAGGCTAAATTAATGCTATTGACTTTCAGGAAATTACCTGGCCTGTGTCTTAGTGTCCTCATCCAGAAATGGGCTAAAACACATTTGTAGCACAGTGCGGTTGATAAAATCACACGGGTGACACGCCTGACACACAATGTGGCTCATCTTTTTTGAAAAACATTTACAATTTCCATCTTAAATATTTGCGCAGTCTGTATGACCAATCATCATCACCCACACTGTCACAGGGGAGCACCCTGCTCTCCGCATGCAGGAACGCTCAGGCTCGCCGTCAGCCTCTCCAGTCCCGGGCTCCTCCAGTGCATTGCTTCTAGCTTCCATCTCTGAGGGTCCCAGGATCCAACAGAGAAGAACATGTTGGTAACATGACACTGTGTACACTGAGAGGACTTTAGCTCAGTGCCAGTCCTACCACACGCCTGCTGCAGCCATGAATGAGGCACTAGCCTCTCTGGCCTTTCTTGGAATAACAGAACTTTCCCCACAGAATTAACTTGAGAAACAGACCAGAGAGGTTGTGAGGCAGAGTGTGGTGTGGTGCCTGCCACACAAATGTTAACCCTTTGTGGGATCCCTTCTAATACTACCGCCACCACCAGGTACCGAATGTAACAGGAAGAGGATGTGGCTGCAAAACACATCCTGTGAGCGTGTGAGGACCGAAGACAACAGCACCCATTCACTCTTCTCACGACTTGCTGTTTGAGCAGGCTGGGCAGGAGCAGCCGTCTCTACTCCACACATGGCTGTCAGGTGGCTGGGGAGCCTTAGCTGTAAAATGCACTGTCCAGAAGGTGCCCCCATGTGGCTGGACAGCAAATGCCTGCCATTGACTGATAGCTCATCCAGGACCAGGGCCACTCCGAGGCCTGCATGGCTCCCGCACAGGACGGGGCTAGCACAGGAGACATGCCAAGGCCAATCGTAAAGTTGCATCAGGTGTGAAATATGATTGTCACTGTCTTTGGAAAACACAACCAGCTACAGGCATTTGCCTGAATGAGCAGTGGCCTGGGCTTCCCGCTGGCTCTACCTGAGCCCAACCCTCAGGGTGCAAGAACAGGGTTACATACTGGGCAAGGCTCTGGGGTGCACTGCTCACAGTCAGAAGCCAACTCACATTACCCGTGACTTTTAGCAAACAATTTGCCTCCTTGGCTTCAGTCCGTACCTGTAAGATGGGAACAACTTTCCAAAGCTCACAGGTGGTGAGGAGGTTCAAGAGGACATCTAACACTTAGCAAGCAAATTGCCAATGTTAGCACTCCTTGCATCTATCACTTGTTTTGATGGCAACAAAACCATCCTGGACCTTGTAAAACAGCGTCAGCTCTTCCCCAAGAAATCTGGGAAATGACCCAAGGAACGGGCAGGACCATACTACCTTTCCCTGCGTCTCTTGTGGCAGAGTCAAAAGCATGTGGATGGTGGCACCAGACCGACTGAGGGAGCGCCCTGGCCCTCATTCTCACCGGCACCCGACTGCAGGAAGTCACGCCATTCTTCCAAGCCTCATCTGGGTAAGGGAATGAGTGTTACTATGAACACTGAAATAAATAATGGGCATGATTGAGTGTGTCATCCTGCGCGGATGAGAAATATTTATGGGAGTACAGATAGGCATCAAAGTTCGCTAATAGCAGCCACATGAGTCACAAGGACGTTGGTGAAGGGCACCCAGCTTAATGAGACTCGGGGAGCAAGCAGACTTGCAAAGTGCTCTGAAATCTTGAGTTAAACGGCACGTGGTGCTGACCACTCATGAGGAGAAAGAGAAGACGTTCCCGTAAGAGTGCTGTGGATAGAACTGGACACAGAGGTGCCCCAGGCGCCACCATGGCCAGCCGTACTCTCACGCCACCCCCTCCCCTGCAACATCTTCAGGATGTGACCTGCACCACCTGTCACTGTGAGCATGTGGCATCCCCTCCCCCACCCCGGGCACAGGTGCCCCCACGGGGAAACCAATCCTCAGTGCCCAGCAAATTTTCAGATCAAACGAGCCCCTCGGGACTGCAGTGCTGTGGCTAACAGTTAGGGCCTCACCGCAGCCTGTGTTTCCAGGCTGGCATGGGAGCCAGGTGCCAGGGAGCCCCTGGCCCCTCCACGTGCTTCCCCCTCTCGGAGCCACCACCCACGCCCTGCTGTCTCCTCCCAGTTCCGCCACACCCTCCGCCCCTTCCGCGCCCCCTCCCCAGGCGGCAGCTCGCTTCCTGCGGCTCCTCCCGCCCCTCCCTGTGCGACAAGAGAGGCGGGCTCCTAAACCAAACCCCGCGACCTGAGTCCCGTCAGCCACTCGGGAACAAGGAGCGACCAGAACAGCCCACCGCGATCCCCCTGTGACCTTGGTAGAGAGCAACACCGCCATTTTGAGCGTGCGATGTGCACACACGACAGCGCCCGTGCAGCACCCGAACAGGGAGCAGACCTGAGTGTCCTGTGCAGAGGGGCAGCGCCATGACCCCTACCCGGTAAAACCGGCCCGCGCCCCCCTACCCGGTAAAACCCGCCCGCGCCCTCCTGAGCCGGCGGCGGAGCCTCTTCCCGCCGGGCGTCCCCCTCATGACCGAGTCCCGCTGCACGCGGGCTTCCCGGCGCCTTCCAGGGAGCCGAAGGGCTGCGGTCGGCGTCGCCTGGGCCAGCAGTTTACCTCACGGGTGACGCAGGCCCTCAGGGCGGCTCTCGGTCCGCGCCGTCTCATCTGCGCACGCGCACAGTGCCCGGATGCTGCCTCGCGCGGGAACGCAGAGCCAGGCGCATGCGCGCCTCGGTCTTCTCTCGGCGCGGACTTGCGTGTGCCCTGTGCGACTTGTGTGGAAGGACGGAGCGGAATCGCGACTGCGCGTGAGGCCGCCGCACACGGAGCCCCGTGGTCTTGGTCGTCGTGGTCATCGGCGTCTGTGCGGCCTGGACCGGAGCAGAGCCGGACGCGGCCCCGCAGCGCCTCCCGCCAGAGGCGCCCCCGCCATGCGGCTCCTCGATGGGCAGCTCGGCCGGGTGGCCACAGCGCACGGAAGGGCCAAGCCCGGGCCAGGGCCGCTGGAGCCCGCGGACAGCGGCTGTCACAGGGACGGGGCCAGCGGCTGCCCAGCACTGCAGCCGGGCTGGGGTGGGCCGCGCAGGCTCCCGGCTGTGAGGGGCCCTGGCCGGGCGGTGTCGGACAGCAGGGCCGCCGCCCTGCCCACCCAGGAGGAAGGTGGAGGCGGCTTCCCCGGAGCTCGGGCTGGCGGGACCGACCCGGCCGCGGCTCTCCACCGGCTGTGGGGGCGTTGTGTGCGATGCTGACCTGGGGGTCAAGCTCACCGACCCTGCCGTCCCCACCTGCTTCTCTTCCCCGTTGGCACTTTGCCCTTTTCCCAAAGGAGGATCCGGATACTCTGAAGCCAGTCACTAAATACTTGATCTTAGTGAAATAAAAATATGACTGTTTACTATAGGTGACTCTTCCTGTATTTCTGTTCTTAACAGATTGGTCACTTATGGCCTGGAGAAGAGGATCTCAGCTGACCGAGGATTTAGCCATCTTTGCTTGGGCACCTCCTTTCCTGACAACTTGTCTTTCTTTGGCCATGTAGATGACTCCAGCTGACTTTCACACAGGCCACCAGCCCCCACAACGTCTTCCTGTCATCTCTGACTTGGGGAAGACCAGGAAGTCTTCCCTGGGGAGAATTAAAGTCTTTTACATCTCATAAAACCTTATCCATTCACATCTACATTTTTAAATCAAGTATATTTCTTCAGGCACCCATTCACAAGTCTCGTCTCCTGTTGAGTCCATAGGAAAACTGCCTGCCATTAACTTTGCCTCCTGAACCCGGCAGAGCAGATGTCCATCAAATGGCTGCTGAAGTAACTGCTGGCTGCAGGCCAAAACCCAAGCAACCCAGAAATCCAATTTCCCCAACCTTGTCCAAACATGATCAGGTGAATGAAAAAGCAGCGTGGACAAAGCAGCTAACCCTCTTAATTTGAAAAAAGTGTCACCATCAGGCAGATCTAACTTCAGTGGACCCTGTGTCTTGTGTGTCGTAATGTAATAATTAGCTCTCTGTGTATCATTCTGCTCAAGCAGCTGTCTGACACATCATTTGCAAGTACGGAGAGGAGACGCTAGTCTATTATCCTGGCCTAGAGAGGAAAATCACTGGAGCATAGCTTTGCTCATGGGGAAAACGCAAAGGTCTGATGTGAGTCAACTGGCAAAGCCCATCTGCTTCTCAAAACAGCAGAGAGGGTCCGAAGCAGAAGCATGCAAAGGGAGAAAGCCTGGTGGATCAAAAGAAGCCACACCAGAGGACATCCTGCGTACTAAACACACAGACACAGAAGGGCCTTAACTTAGCGCTGCTGTGAAGTGTGATCAAACTGGGGAAGTTGAGATGATTAAAAATAAGAGGCATGGGGCCGGCGCCGTGGCTCAATAGGCTAATCCTCCACCTTGCGGCGCCGGCACACCGGGTTCTAGTCCCGGTTGGGGCGCCGGATTCTGTCCCGGTTGCCCCTCTTCCAGGCCAGCTCTCTGCTATGGCCAGGGAGTGCAGTGGAGGATGGCCCAGGTGCTTGGGCCCTGCACCCCATGGGAGACCAGGAAAAGCACCTGGCTCCTGGCTCCTGCCAGGATCAGCGCGGTGCGCCGGCTGCAGCGGCGGCCATTGGAGGGTGAACCAACGGCAAAAGGAAGACCTTTCTCTCTCTGTCTCTCTCGCACTGTCCACTCTGCCTGTCAAAAAAAAAAAAAAAAAAAAAAAAAAAAAAAAAAAAAGGCATGGATTTTTCTTGGTCTATGTCTATGCCAAATTCTCCCAATTGCCCACCCAGACAGTTCTAAATGCTCATGTTACAGGCCAGGCTCTGCTTCTCGGTGGTGCAAGGAAAGCCCATCAGTGCCTCCCAGCCTCAGTCCACCGACCTCAAAGTGAAGAAGAAACACCTACACAGAATGTTACAGAGAGAAGAAGGTTAAGGCAGACATGGAGTGGGTCGTTCAACCTCGCCCCCATGGCCGAGCCCCAGCATTCAGAGGGCGGTGTGGAGGGTCACGGGAAGAGGGGATCCCTGAGTCGGCACAGCTGCAGATCCCTAAAAACAGGAAACTGGAGCAGCTCACTGAGCACCGCCTTCGTGGGGGGGGGGGGCAGAGGAAAGGCGGCAGCAGTGGAGCAGCTGCCCCTCCAGGTCCCCAGGGTCCCAGCGACCCAGAACCTCCTGCAGGAGAGACCCTGTCAGAAGGAGGGCGCCCTGAGCACATCAGGATGGGGCCTTTGGTGTTGCGGAGTAGCGTGAAAACACTGTTCGGAAGTTGAGATTTTTGCTGTTTCTGCTTTCAGTTTAGGGGAAGACTCTTGACTATATTGCAGTGGGGGGGGTGGAGAGGGAGAATTCTGCTTTTCAGAGAAAACAGACTTTTCTGAAGCAGTGTAGCCTGAATAGTTTATAACCCAGAGACATCTGCTTGCACTAACAGTGGCAGAATTGCAAATATCAGACCAGGACTCACAGTTCAAAGTCACCATTTTTACTAATACAGGATGCGAGTCCATTAACGTATGATTTTCTAAAAAACCGAAACAAACAAATTCAAAGAAGTGATCGTACTAAATCATCATTTTTACATCATTTTTACCAGGAATGATCCAAAACAATCATTATTCAAACAATTGCAAATAATACACTGTAGTAGCCCTAGTGGTTTGGGAAACCATCTTAGGGCCATGCCTGGCTCCACAATTCCCAGAGCCAGACCGCCTGCGTTGAGAGCTTGCTGTCACTGCCTCGTTGCTTCAACAAAAGTAACAGCGAGGGGCAACCAGCTGTAAGGCATTTCTGTCCTCCTCACAGCTTTGCTGGCACCAAACACGGGGGAATGCACAGTGCTCTGGTACAGCTGCCCCTGTGCAGCTAATCAAGGCGAATCTCTGTCTGTTTGAAAATAATTTTCAAAATTGAGCTATAACTTCAGGAATGTTTGCAGATAAAATGTACACTAAAGGTTACAAATACTAAAGGCAGAATTTGATGAATTTTGAAACATAATGTGTACTCATGTCACTGTCAAGGAAGTAGAAACTCTCTTGCACATTGCGCCACTCCTTGTCCTGATCCCAAGGCAATGATGAAGCCAGACTCCATCACCATAGTTTTAGCTGTATTTGAGATTCATCAGTGGACTCATACTCTGGGATTTTTAGGTAGGAAGTCAGAAATCGAGCCTGTGTGTGTGTGAGTGAGGCCTGAGACCAGCACCCACTGCTGAAGCCCCAGAAGCCCAGCATCTTGCACTTCAAAGTGCTGCTCAGACCCTGATGACCTTCCAGGGGGTCCTGCCCCTTCCACCTGGCCTGATAAACATCTTTCCTGTAAGCTGGGGCGACGCTAGCCGGGCTTCCCCTGTCTGATAACTTCAGTGGGAAAAACTCAGAAAGGAATTTTTTGTATTTACACCCAACAAGTTCTTTGGGAGGAGAGGAAGGAGAGGGGGAGAGAAAAGGCAGGAAGACAAGACCCATCCCCTTAAAAACCCCAGCCTAAATGTGCACTGCGCACTCTCCCTCAGGTCCTGTCTGGAGGGGTGCTTGTCCGTTCTTACAGATGTCCCTGTCCTGATAAACCTTGCTGTCCTGCTTTTCACTGCTCTGTCTCACGCCTGAATTCTTGCACAAAGACAAGGACCCTTTGCCTCTCTGGTAACAGGATCTCTGTCTCTGACTTGTTTTACTGGACATGAGTCTGTGAGATTTAGCCATGTCACTGTATCGGTAGGTTTTCTCATTGCAGCGTATAATTGTATAATCATAACACAACTTATTTCTCCATTATAGTTCTGATGGATAGTTGAGTTGTTTCCATTTTGAGGCAACTATGAAGAAACCTGGTCTGTTCATTTTTTCCCCAGAAACCTTTTATTTAAGAAATACAAACTGTTAGGAAAAGAGTTGCAGACTGGTGCCTCCTCACACGGGGCACCGAAATGTTAGGAAGAGAGACACAGAATGGAGAGGAGGCAGTGCACGAATTTACAGCATTCCAAATTTATTCAGAGAAAATAAATCCACAGAGGTGGGTGACCAGCTGCCTGCGTGTACACGATAGAGCATGTGGCAGAGACCCAGACCCCCAGGGCCCCGGCCTTTTTAAGGAGGGCTAGGGCTAGGGGTGGGATGGGGGCAGCAGGGAGGGGAATTCAAGGAACTGGGCGAGGCTTGGGAACCTGGAAAATAATTCAGGGTGTGGTATGAAGGCAATGGGGTGTGAGACCCACTGAGTTTCAAGGGCGAGGAATACGGTCCAGTGTTATCTCCTTTGGGCAATGAAGGATGGCTGAGGCTTACACCCTTATTCCATCACAACTTCATGAAACTTTCCTCTGTACAACTTTAGGAACATAGTGATTCTTCCTACTGTGTTCACCCTCCCACCCCTCTTCCTCCTCCTTCTCCTATTCCCACTATTATTTTTTACTAAGATCTATTTTTCAATTAAT